CTATTTGCACTCTAGGAAACACAAAATCTGAAGTTCTGAGTGCGTTCTAAACAGTTAGGTTTCCAGAATCTGGAATGGAGAAGAGTTTATAACTTTGTAGGCTCGTGGCATGAGTCCTGATGGGCACCAAATATTCAAAGTTAGAATGAACTCAGCTTCTCTTCCTGGACCTGAAGGGAGTGGGCAGAGACAACTTACACCAGCATCCCTCTGCTCTACAACAGTGGTTTTCAAACTGGCTACACACAAGAATCAACTGGAGAGCTTTCAAAAATCCTCATGCTCGGGCCACGCCCCGACCAATTAAATCAGAACTTCTGGGGGTAGGGCCCAGACACTGGCATTTTATGAAGTGTCCAAGGTGAACCCAATGTGGAGTCAAGGTTGAGGACCATGTCAGGAGCAAAAACATGAATTATTTTAAGATCCGATTTATACTAGGACTTCCCTGGTGGCACAGTGGATGAGAACCTGTCTGGTGACACAGGTGACACGGGTTTGATTCCTGATCCGGGAAGATTCCAAATGCCATGGAGCAACTACACCCAAACACCGCATCTACTGAGCCCATGTGCTGCAACCACTGAAGCCCATGTGCCTGGAGCCTGTGCTCCAAAACATGAGACGCCGCCTCAATGAGAAGCCTGAGCACAGAAACGGAAAGTGTAGCCTCTGCTTGCTGCAACTAAAGACTGCATGTGGCAATGAAAACCCAGCACAAACAAAAATATATAAATAAAATTATATTAAAAAAAAACTTACACTAGGCTCTTAATTGGCTTCAGAACATTTTAAAGACTGCTAAAATGTCATAGTTTGCATGCATCACCACACTTCAGATACTCGTAGATAACCATCTATGGACACCTCAGAGATAAACTGGGTGATTGCTTCCAGACCACCAAAATAAAGTGAATGTCACAAAAATGAGAGCCACATGGATTTTTTGGTTTCCCAGTGCAGATAAAAGTTATGTTTACACTATCCAGTAGTCTATTAACTCCGCAGTAGCATTGTCTAAGAAATCAAGGTACATACTTTAACTAAATATACTTTATGGCTAAAAAATGCTAACACTCATCTGAGCCTTCTGTGAGCTGTAATCTTTCTTACAAGAGTAACATCAAAGATCACTGATCACAGAAAACCATAAAAAATACAGTAAAAATTAAAAAGTTGGAAGTATTGTGAGAATTACCAGACCATATGACACAGAGACACAAGATGAGCAGATGCTGTTGGAAAAATGGCACTGACCGGCTGGCTCCATGAAGGGTTACCACACAGACCTTCAGTCTGTAAAAGACACAGGATCTGTGAAGTGCAATAAAAGAAACCATGAAAAACCAAAGTTCACCTGGATATCTTTTTATTTATGCAGAGTTGTTAAAAATAAAAGGGGCTAAATGCACTTGAATCGGAAACAGAAAAAGATATTCAATGGGAAAAGTGGTGAAATTTGAATAAAGTCTGTAGTTCAGTTACTAACAGTATCAATAGCAAGGTTAATGTCTTAGTTTTGATACTCATCACATGGTATCTATGATATTCACATTAGGGGAAGCTGGGTGAGGGGTATATGAGAACTCTGTACTGTCTGTGCAGCTTTTCTGTATAACTATTTATTTCTACATAAAACTTTTAAAAATTGAATTGAAAAAAAAAAAACAGAAGATAGACCTAGTACTAATCCTACATTGATTAACTAATGATAGGAAACATCCCTGGACACAGAGTCTGACACTGTGGCCTTGGACACTATTAATGAATGCAACTTAGGGGTGAAGGGAACTTAGAGAATCTTCCAGTTTCGTCTACATTCTGTTTCATATTTCTTTTCTCCATGCCCATCCAGATCCTACAAAATGTCATCAACAGCAGTTCACACTGAAAGACTCACTGACTATACATATTGTACTATTAGGAATTATAACACTGCTGCCAATTCCTAACACTAGTGCAGTATTTTATAGCTTATAGCACTTTTTCCTTCCTTTTTTTGGCTGTACCATGCAGCATGAGGGACCTTAAGTTCCCTAACAAGGGATGGAAATGGTGCCCCCTGCACTGGGAGAGCAGAGTCTTAACCACTGAACTGACTGGGAAGTCCCAACAGCACTTTCTAAGTCTTGTTTTGATCTGAATTAGGAAAAAGGCAAATGCATAGGGTATGCCATGGGCTGCAATAAAGGATGAAAGTTCAACTGCATTTTATTATAAAATACCCAGTGTAGTACCTGCAGAACTCACACACACACACACACACAATACACACAATACACACGCACAGTTTGAAAATCCACTTAGTAAATGATCTGACATTACTGTCCAGCAGTGCCCAGTGTGAGACCAGAGGCGGGACAGAAGACAAGGATAGTGGTTACCGACATATCATCACCACCCTGGACGCTTCCCTGATGGCTCAGATGGTAAAGAAACTACCTGCAATGCGGGAGACCTGGGTTCGAGCCTTAGGTCAGGAAGATCCCTTGGAGTAGGGCATGGCAACCCACTCCCGTATTCTTGCCTTGGGAATTCCATGGACAGAGGAGCCTGGAGGGCTACAATCCATGGAGTCACAAAGAGTCGTACATGACTGAGCAACTAAGCAGACCGCACAGACCAAGCCTCACCCACAGGCACCATTCTGTGGTCACAGCTTTCATGCATTCCTTTCCCACCAAGAAAAGAAGAAAAGGTCAGATGACCAAAAAGGCCATGAGCCAACGCCTTGGCCCCAGGTGTGGTCAGCCCTTGACTGACAATGCCCTGAGTCAACGGCCACCCCTGCCTTCCCTTTGTTCTGTCTCCTCATCCTGGTCTCTTGGAGGCCGGTTCCTGATTTCCTAGGGGCCCCCGATACTCACTGTTCCCTGGTGAGTCAGGCCCATCTGCCATCTCTTTTCCAGGAACTGTCTGCCAGCTGCAAAGTCTTGTCCACTGATCTCGGCTGGCTGTCCGCCACTTCTACAATCACCAGGGGAGCCCTCCCACCCACACCCAGGTGAAGAGGTTGGTGGTGGCCACTCTTCCTCTGGACGGTGCCAGACGATGGTTCATATCCTCCTTATCACCCCCACCCTCCCCAAAAGGGCTCTCCAGCTGCCAGTTCACAGTCCAGGGAGAGGGACCCTTCCCTTCAGCCTGCGTGCCTCCAGCCTGCATGCACGTGCACACACAGAGACACAGGAACACACACACACTTTCCCCAGCAGCCCAGGGAGTCAGGAGAGCCAAGACCTGGAACAGACAGACATACACACAGAGGCACACAGACACACTTTCCCCACCAGCCCAGGGAGCCTGGGGCAGATAGGCTCCATTCGATGGGACAGGTGGGTGGTGCTGTGTGGTTTTCCTGCTTCCATCTCTCCTGGGAGCAGAGCAACTTTCTCCCTGACGTTCATTTCTTCCTGGCTGGTGCCATTAGGGCTGTGATCTGAAACCTTCGGCAGGTGTATTTTTTCCTCCTGGGCCCAGGACAATAAGCTCGTTCTCTGACTTGTTTATCCAAAAGGGAAGTCAAATTGGGACCCATCTTGAGCTCACTGGCTCTCTGAGAAGAGGAAACGTACTTGGGAAATGTGAACAATGGGATATGACAAATTGAAACTGTGGTTTCCTTCTAATGAGTGAAAAATGTCTGGGTACCAGTTCAGAGGGTTACAGTGGTTTTCAGGAGAAAGGGTAGAAAACAACTACATTCATGAAAGTGGTTATTCTCCATGTATATTTGTACATTTGTCTTAAAGAATTTTTAAAATTTACTTTGCTGGCTCTTTCCCATCACAGCCCTCCAGGTCACAGCCCTGTTTACAAGGTCCCACCCACAGGCACAGCGATCCTTCTAGACCAGGCGCAAGCAGTCCTGTCTCCTTTCTGGCTCAGTTCTCTGAGGCTCCAGAGCCAGGGGCAGCCTGTTCCTCCTGACTTTCTGGAGCCACGTGTGACTCTGCCCCCAATACTTCTCACGCTGCCACCTGAAAGGTTGCTAATTTAGAGGGTTGATAATCTGCCCAGTTTGCCCCAGACAGTCCCAACTTACACCCTCTTTTACCCACAGGGTCCTGATATGGATGATAAATGCTGCGGCCACCCCATCCATCTGCAGCTCCCGGAGGGTCCTCGCACATATGCACCTGATCATCTCTCCCATTGACCAATATGGATGCCTCCAGTCCGTGCTCCTGAGCCCAACCTGCTTCAATGGGACCTGCCTCCTTGAGTCATCTTGTCCAGATGCTAACCTAACCCTAATCTATTAATGTTTTAGGACATCATCTCTGTAATTCTAAGGATCTGGAGGAGCATGTGTGCAAGTGTGTGTGTGTATGCACAGAGGAGCAAAAACTGTAAAACATTTGCTTAGAACAGTGTATCGAGGAATTTGTGCAGGTGTACACCGTACTCTTTTATTAACAATATAATAAGAAGGAAATTGAAATTTTAGTAAAGATACTCCTTCCTTGTGTTGCAAAACACCATCTTAGAGAGCCAAATTGAAAGATCACTGAACACAAATGTACTTTTCATCAGATGAGCAGTCTGAATTTTCCCTTTTTATAGTCTACTTCATCGTTGACAGTGAAACTGCACAGATACTCTTCATTTTGAATTTATCATCACACTGACTTCCTGTTATTGTTATTCCAACACTAAAAAGAAATGCTGCATTTCCAGACGTTTTCATTTAACTCTAACAGAAAACAAACCCAGACAAATCTACTTTTTTAAAAAAAGAAACATTTCAGTTCTGAACACGCACTGGCTTGATTATAAGAACTGGTTTACCTAATAATTTCATAATATGAGCATCACCCTAATTATATCCTTTGGCTGTTCCAGGCATGATCACAAGGCCTTTGAAATTCAAATGATGAACTTGGACTGACCCTGAACCGCGAGACCTAAGTGGCCTGCAGCAGCCCTCACTGCGGACAGTTGAGACAGTGCAATTCTGAGTTCCATATTTTCCCTTCCCTGAACACATGGGTACTTACGTCTCATCTGTGAAGGCAATTCCAAAGTATTCCTTCTCCTTCAGGTTGAAGTGAGAGGCCACGAGGTCAAGCAGCTCCTTGGCCAAAAGCTTGGGCTGGAGAGAGAACAAAGTGGGAGAGGAAGTGATGAGAGATTCCATTTCCTGAAGCATGCAATCTCAATCTCATACTTCTCAAAGGGAACGTCCCAAAGTTCAAGAACAGCCATACACAAGGTTTTTATAAAGCCCAAGGAGACAATGAGGACAGGGCCATCAGTGGACTGAGACCTTCTGACTTGTTTACTGGCAGTCTGTTTTATCAACAAATGGTATTTGCTCACAGACAAGGCTGCCAGACCTCACAGTTCTCCTCCCCCACACAGGAGAACATTCTATACTGAGTTGACAGGGAGATATCTAATTTTAAATATATATATATATTTAATATATATATTATATATATATATACACACACATGAAAGTGAAGTCGCTCGGTCGTGTCCGACTGTTTGCGACACCATGGACTGCAGCCTACCAGGCTCCTCCGTCCATGGGATTTTCCAGGAAAGAGTACTGGAGTGGGTTGCCATTTCCTTCTCCAGGAGATCTTCTGGACTCAGGGATTGAACCCGGGCCTCCTGCATTGTAGGCAGATGCTTTACCATCTGCGCCACCAGGGAAGTCCCTTATATAAATACATAGTCACACATATGTAATGGGCCACCTGGTGGCTCAGATGGTAAAGAATTTGCCTGCCATGCAGGAGACATGGGTTCGATCCCTGGGTCAGGAAGATCCTTTGGAGAAGGAAATGGCTGCCCACTCCAGTATTCTTCCTGGGAAATTCCATGGACTTGAGGAGCCTGGCAGGCTACAGTTCATGGGGTTGCAAAGAGCCAGACAAGACTAAGCAACTAACACTAACATATGTAACATAAATATGCTGTGACATACATCAAATATATATTGCATAACACAAATGCTATATAATACTATAATATAGTAATACTGTAGTTAATAGATTATAGAATGTGAAGATAGATATATTGGTTTGGCCAATAAGTTCATTTTCATTTTCCCATAAGATATAATGGAAAAACTTGAACTTTGTAGCCAACCTTATACATACATACATACATATATATGTATGTGTATATATATATATATGTATATATATATATATGTATATATATGTATGTATGTGTATATGTATGTATGTATATATATGTTTACCATGCACTTATATAGTATTTGCTATGTGCTATTTGCTATGTGCTAGGGCCTGTTTCAAGCACTTTACAAACACCAGCTTCTTTAACCCTCATCACAACTCTATAAGGTGGTTCTATTATTAATTCCATTGTATGGGGAGGAAATAGGTGCCCAAAGATTAAACATCTCTCTTTAAGTATTGGGGTTGAGATTTGAACCCTGGTTCCAGAGACTACCCTTGACTACTCTCTGCATGGGGGGGTGTGTGTGTGTTAGTTGCTCAGCTGTGTCTGACTCTTTGTGACCCCATGCACTACAGCTCACCAGCCTTCTCTGTCCGTGGAATTCTCCAGGCAAGAATACTGGAGTTAAGTTGCCATTTCTTTCTCCAGAGGATCTTCCCAGCCCCAGGATCAAACCAGCATCTCCTGCATTGGCAGGCAGATTCTTTACCATCTGAGCCACTCAGGAAGCCCTGATCATTCTATACGCTCCCATAATTTAAAATTCAAACAATAAAAGTAACTTCCTGCCAGAAATGTTAACATTAAGGCCAAAGGAACTTGAGAATAGTTATTTAAGAATAAACCAAAAATCTGCCTCTCCAAGAATACTTTTATCCAAGAATATTTTTATCATGAACACTTTCCTGAACATCTCTGCCAATCTAAAGGAGTGTGTCAGAGCCTTAGATATGAAATCACTGTAGCTGTTTGCACTGTCAAGACATCCATCACTCTGGCCTATCACTGTTGAGATGACTACAGACTACCAGGCTCACATTTTATTTTCTTGGGCTCCAAAATTACTGTGGACAGTGACTGCAGTCATGAAATTAAAAGGCGCTTGCTCTTTGGAAAAAAAGCTATGACAAATATAGAGAGTGTATTAAAAAGCACAGACCTCTCTTTGCTGACAAAGGTTCATATAGTCAAAGCTCTGGTTTTCCCAGTAGTCATGTATAGATGTGAGAGTTGGACCATAAAGAAGGCTGAACACCAAAGAATTGATGCTTTTGAACTGTGGTGCTGGAGAAGACTCTTGAGAGCCCCTTGAACAGCAAGGAGATCAAACCAGCCAATCCTAAAGGAAATCAACCCTGAATATTCATTGGAAGGACTGATGCTAAAGCTCTAGTACTTTGGCCATCTGATGCGAAGAGCTGACTCACTGGACAAGACTCTGATGCTGGGAAAGACTGAGGACAGGAGAAGGGGGTGGCAGAGGGTGAGATGGTTAGATAGCATCACCAACTCAATGGACTGAGTCTGAGCAAATTCCGGGAGGTAGTAAAGGACAGGGAAGCCTGGTGTGCTGAAGTCCACAGGGTCACAAAGAGTCAGACACGACTTAGCAACTGAATACCACCACCACCACCAGGTTCAGACATAGGAGGAGAAGAAAAGGCTGATAATAGAGATGTGGAGCCAAAAGGTATCAACTATTTCTAAATTGCCTCCAAGGTCAGGCTTTTGCAGATGCATTGCCTTTATTCTACAACAACTGCCCTGTTCCAAGCATACTCACTGGATGTCTCTATGCACAAAGCAAGAAAGGATGCGAGAAGAAAAAACGTGTGTGTGTGTGTGTGTGTGTGTGTATTTGCATTTACGCACATCAGTATACCATTCCTGAGTATATTTACTTTGTTCCATTCTTCTATTAAGAGGGTGGATAAGATGTGTAAATCAAGAGTTACGTAGCAGGACTTCCCTGATGGTCCAGTGGTTGAAAGCCTACCAGCCAGTGTGAGGGACATGGGTTCGATCCCTGATCTGGGAGGATCCCACGTGCCACGGAGGAGCTGGGCCCGTGCACACAAACTACTGAACCAGCATGCTGCAACTACTGCAGCCCGAAAGCCTAGGACTGCGCTCCACAGTAGGAGAAGCCACCACGGTGAGAAGCCCACGCACAGCAACTGAGGAAACCCTGTGTGCAGCGGCAGCCAGCCAGCACAGCCAAAAATAAAATAAATAGAAATTAATTTTAACAAAGAGTTATGTAACAGTTTTAGAACTAGCATATGATCTCGCAATTCCACTTCTGGGTATTTATCCAAAGTAAATAAAAACACTAACTTGAAAAGACATACGTACCCCCCTGTTCACTGCAGCATTATTTACTACAGTCTCCACATGGAAACAAGCTAAGTGTCCATCTATAGATGAATGGGTAAAGAAAATGTGATATATACACACAATGCAGTATTATTCAGCCATAAAGAAGAGGGAAATTTTATCATTCACAACAACATGGGTGAACCTTGAGGGTATTATGCTAAGTGAAATAATCAAACAGAGAAAGACAAATACTATATGGTCTCACTTATATGTGGAATCTAAAGAAGAAGATTAAAAAACACTTCATAGATCCACAGAACAGACTGATGGTTGCCAGAGATGGGGGGTGATGAGTAGGGGTGGGAGAAATGGGTTAAGATGGTAAGAAAAAAAAAGAGTTACAAGGCAGTTTCGTTTCTTATTTCACTTTTTTGGTGCTACTAAGGACTGTACTGTGTCCCCCCCTCCCAAATTCATATGTGGAAGCCCTAAACCTCACTGTGATGGTATCAGGCAGTGGGGTCTTTGGGAGCTGATCAGGGTTAGATGAGGTCATGAGGGAAGGTTCTCATGATAGGATTAGTGTCCTTATAAGAAGAGATCCCAGAGAGCTGGCTTGCTCTCTTTCCACCAGGTGAGGACACAGTGAGAAGGCTGCAGTCTCCAAGTGAAGAAAAGAGCCCTCATAGAGCCCAGCCAGGCTGGCACCCAGACCTCGGACTTCCACCCTGTAGAACTGTGACAAAATCAGTGTCTCCTATTTAAGCCTCCAGGTCTATTGGATTTGTTAGGCAGCCCAGGCAGACTAAGACAGGGGCACTTCCTTTGATCCAACAAACATTTATGGAGTGCCTAAAATGTGCAGGGCACTAGCGAACCCTGGAGGAGATACAAAAATGCACAGCACACAGTACTTGCCAATAGGCCCTTAGACTCTCACTAGGGCACAGAGTAACAGCTAGTGTTCATTTCAAAAAGCCAAAGCAGATGGTTCCGTCTCTGCTGCCTCATCCTGGGCTCCCAGCATGGCAGTCTCGGGGTCTTATCACCATCAATTTACCAATGAAAACTGCCAAAAATGATGAGAGTGGTTTTGAAGCGGGGGCAGAGCTTCCTCCCCCCAAAAGACATAAATCAACAGGAGAATCCATTTTGGTAAATCAATGTCATCCCATATGCTATACTTCCATTCACACTAAGGAAGGCAGGGGAGTAAATGTGGCACATCTCAGAGCATCATTAATGAGTGACAAGTAGAATCCAAGGGGAGGGAGGCTCTTGAAGTTTCAGGCTATATTTGCTAAGGGATGCTGTGGGGCTGTGTTGCTAGAATCACCTCCATCCCCACGAGGTACCTGAATGCCTAGATAAAAAGTATTTAATGCAGAGGCTGTGACCCAATGGAGGGAGGCAAGGCTGATTTTTACATTGTAAAGTACCATAACTCATCTTTCCAAATGCTTGCATCCCTTTCAGAACAGTCACAGCATTTCTATGATCTGCTATTTCTTTAAACATTTTGATCATCTTTGGGATCTACCTTTGAAACTTGTGTCACATGTGTAAAAGCATCCTCACTGGCCTCGGAACAGATTTGACTTTTTTTTTTAATGGCAAAAGTCACATGAGGTCAACTCTGGTGAATGGTGATAGAGGATGCACGGGGGAAGCACACTGGATCAAACTGGTTTTCTAGAATGAGGTGTGACTAGTAATTCATTATTTGTGGGTTCTTAGAGGTAATGGGGAGATTCCCAGACCAAACTTGGAAATGATGGAAATAAGATTTCCTTCTCTTTGAGAGTTAAACTTGAAAGCCATCATCTCAAGGGAAATGAC